AGGATCAAATTTCAGTGAGTGCTCCACTGCTGCATGCAGAAATGTTTGACAAAAAAAACAGCATAATATTATAGGGATCAACAGGGTAGTTAGTTCTGCTTTATGCACGGTTTGGTACCATTACTGTGGAGAGTGATGAAGGCAGAAAAGCGAGGGAGAGAGACGGAGGCGAATATGTTGGTAATCCGTGCTCCAGTAGAGAGGGTGATGAAGGGTTAACAGCCAGATAACGTATTGAGTGGAAGAGAAGGAGGGCAGACTTCTCAGGTGTGAAGAATGGAATGAGATAGACAGAGGAGAGAGGGATGAGAGTCGGGAGGGGGGCCTCTCAGGAGCTGGTATTATTATGGTTGCAGGCCCTCGTTGCCAGGCAACAGTGCTGAGCAGAGATGCCAGGTTGCTAGGTAACCTGGGGGATGCAAAGCCTAACGTGGTGCGATAGAGAGAGAGAGAGGAGACGGAGGTGGGGAGGAGCTGCTCCACCTTCCCGCTCAATCGCTCTTGTTTCTCACACCTCAGTGTTTTTCACCCAGCGGTGAACGAGAGAGTGTCATCGGGGAGTCAGACTGTTATCTATATAAACACACTGAATATATATATAAAGACAGAATATATCTATACAAACACCCTGAAACACACAGATGAGGCATGCGAGGGAGCTGATAGATGAATCACTGATAATTACTGGTTACTTTGATATTTCGTGATCACGATATGTCGTGTCTTTCTGTGTTTTACTGGATTACTTGCAGCCGTGTAGCTCAAAATCAAAGCAGAATTATATTAAACATGTAGTTGTATGTTAAACAATCTATTTTAAGAGAGACACTTATGGGGTGAAGAGTCCTGCTATTTGGCTCAATTTAGTTTTTTGCCCAATCGACATAAGGGTTCACTATACTGATGATAAAGAGTTTGCAGTTACAGCAATGATGGGGAGAAAATTGAGAGAGAGTAGGAGCAACACGAGAGGAGGAAGTGAATGAGATAGAGTAGGCAAGAGAAAAAAAAGGAGGGAACGGGTTGAAAAAGATAAAAAGAAAAGCAGTGATGTGCCCGTGTCATCAGGAAGGGTATATAGACGGATTACGGAGTTGAGAGTGGAAAGAAGGGAATCGAGGATGGGGGGGAAGAGTTAAGAGGGAGAAATAATGCTAGATCGTGGAGAAGGGATAAAAATAGTTTTCTTTTCTTGTGCACTCTGGAAAATGGACATCTTAAATTGTGTGGATGGAGTGTTCCAGAGGGAGATTGAAGGGGGGAAGGGTGTGTGTGAGGAAGATAGATATGACGAGTGTTAGTGTGTCTGTGCACACACACACACACGCACACATACACACACACACACACACACACACACATTTAGATATGCACGCTACCTCCTACCCTCATGATGTGGCGCAATGGTTTGTTCCACTGATTTTGCGTGTGTGGGGGAGGGGGTGGAATACAATTTGATTGGATAATCCAAGGATTTAATATCCCCTAATCCTGGCATAATCCTCTCTGCGTTACTGCGGGGAGCAAGATTAACTGTATGTTTGTAGGATGTTTGTTTCTGCGTGTGCAAAAGGGCGGGTGCTCTGGGTGTGGGGAAAAGTGTAGTGTACACAGTGTGTGTGTGTGCGCGCGCGCATATGTGAGTATACACTGTGTGTGTGTATTTGTTTTGGCACCACAACATGCAAATGGAGCTGTATTTGCATGCAGGGTTTGTTCATGCGTGGCGGTGGACGAGCCTCCACTGAGTGCGAGTGGTCATGTGAGCTCACACACGATCATACATCACATATCTCGCCCTCATGCATCGCCGCACTGTTGCTCACATACGAGTTTTCCTTCCCTCACAGATAGAGACAGGTTCTTAGTATTCAGCAGGACGGATCAAACCTTGCTACAGGAGGAAGCCGGCTCCTCGTATACGTGCGCACGCTTGCAGATGGTTACTGTTAATTAAGTCTTAATTGGAATGTGAGTAATTAGAGGATGATTTTACTTGAAAAGGAGCGCGTGGCTGTTCACGTGTGTTGGAGTGAAGGAAGAGGAATGAGTGGAGTACAGTGTGACTGACGAGCAGGGACTGTACTTTATTTGCATTTTTCTCTCAGGCTCGAGGGGATTTTAATTACTCTTACCACAATATAGATTCAGTTCCTTCAATCTTTCCCTCAGAGCCAAATCACACTTACTACCTCCCTCTGGATACTGCCCACATCTCTACATCACTCTCATAAATCTTCTGTCCTCTTCATTTCCTTGTTCTCATACGTTTTTTACTCGCTGCTCACTCCTCCCTTGTTTCATTGGCTCAAAGAGGGAAGATGTCGAGGAGGATAGTGAGAAGCTGCAGCAGAGCACTCTCTCCGGCACACATTCTTTGTTTACCCCAAGAGCACAGCAGTCACCCTTGGCAACCAGCATCCTTGTTTACCTACCCAGTGTGCCGTCATACCATTGCCATGACAACGAGCCGGTTGCCATGCCAATTTTCCGATGCCATTGTGTTGTCTTTGTGGTGGCGGTGTGCACCTCTCATCTGCTGTTTCTCTGGCTTTTTCCTCCATCTCCATCCGTCTTTTTCCAACGCGTCATATGGACTTAATATTACGTGGTTACTTTAAATCACCAAAAGGTCAGTTCAAGTGAGCACATACACTTCCTCAGGAACCGATTGATATGCCTTGATTGATAAGCTGTAGACGGGAATCATAAGGTTCTTCTGTTCAGTCGGTTTTACAGTCACAAGGATGAGCTTGAATGGGGCTATTGAAGGAAGCAGTGGAGGAGGTGATGGATGGATAAAAACGATAAAGGAAGGGTTAGTGTACACAAATCTTGCTACAATCAAGCCTGCTCTACAACACAGGCCCGAAATCAATGAACAAGACGGGACTGATCGATGAGTTGACAGTGCGAGATGGATGGCAGCGTGGATGGATAGCGATAGCACCGGGACTGGAATATGATGGATGGATGGACGGGTGGAGGGATGGAGGGATGGATGGATAAATGGAGGGGTGAAGGGATGGAGCGGTGGATTGACAGTTTGAATCCAAGGTCACTGGAATCTGTAACTTTATGTTTATGTCGACAGTTCGAGTCAATAAAGGTGCGGGTTACAAATCTACATTATTCCTTCCTCTGCAGACCACTGTGTGTATATGTGTGTGCGTACAGATGTGTTTGCATCTGTGTGGGTTTGTGCCTCTGATTGTGTGTGATGGCCTTGCCTTAATCAATAGCTTTGTGGTGACAGCTAAGAGCTGATTAATCAAATGTATGGATCAGTCTCTCTCTCTCTCTGCTCTGCCCTCTCCTCAATTACCAGCTTCATTACATTGCCTTAACACTCCACTGGGACTTCTCTCCATTCTTCCTCCTCATCCCCTCCCTTTCCCCTCCTCCTCCTCCTCCTCTCTGTCCCCATCCATCCTCTTTTTCTCATCCTCTGTTCTTCCCTCTGAGTTTTTCTCCTCCCTGTCATACATGCAAAATACAATTGCCACAAATCACTTTTTGAGTGGCAGTGAGGCAAAGCAATGATTATAGTACATTGTACACTGAGTGAGGAACTTTAAATCTGAGCTTGTCTGATAAGGATGTTTATTCAAAAAATGTGCGATGGTTTGCTTTTATTTGGTTTCGCAACATTTCACAGCTTGGATCAGAAAATAGGTGTGTCTACCCCACAAGCGTGTTTTTTTCCTCTTCTCTTTTTGGCTTTTGCTTTCTGTATTGATGTCACTCCCTCCTTCAAACCGCTCCTCGTCGGGATTTTTCTTCCTTTCTCCATTCCTTGTGCTTCTTCTTTCTTTTCATCCCCATCATTCTGCAGCCCTTCTCCTCCCCCACCGCATCCCTCTGGCATTAACACTCTGTCTCATTGCCTCAGTGCTATGACTAAGCACTGTGTGTGTGTGTGTGTGTGTGTGTGTGTGTGTGTGTGTGTGTGTGTGCATGTGTGTATGTGTGCATGTCTGTGTGTGATCAACCTGTGTATCTGTCGATAGTGTATGCATGGTAGGGCCATTCAGAACATGTGTATGCTTGCATGCATGCATTAGCAGTCACGGCGATGGATCTCTGTAGTCATGACAATTTTTAGACTGAGGAAGTCACGACTGAATCACGCCCCGCTCCTCCCTCCTCCCCCTCTTTCTCTTTCTATTCTTTTTCAATCATCCTCTGAGGAAGCTTTGCTTTCATCCTCCTACTCTCCATCTCTCTGTGTGTCACTCCTCATGTAATGCTTCTTTTTTTCCAGCATTTCCATTCACATCATGGGTTCCTTTTGGCCTCCACCTGCCCTTTCAGTCGGTCAAAGTCTGTCGGGTTCCCCCAGGCCTGACTCTCGATCTCCATCCTTTTATTTTTAGCTGACTGCGCCTGTTAGCTTCACACACTTGTCATCTCATCTCACCCCCCACCCCCCTCCTCCTCCTCCTCTTCTCTCTTTCTCAATCTACTCTTGTCCCTCATCTAATCCGTAGTTCTTCTGTAATCCAGATCAACTGGCCTGCATTCTTAATCTCGTCACTTCTCAATCCCCCCTCCATTCTGTGTCTGTGTGTATGTGTGGGTGTGTGTGTGAGAGAGAGAGCAAGAGAGAGAGAGAGAGAGAGAGAGAGAGAGAGAGAGAGAGAGAGAGAGAGAGAGAGAAATCAGAGATTTTAAGGTTGTCCCAGCAGCCTGGGAGTTCAGACACACCTGCCACCTGCTAAACTTGATTTATCAGGGACTAAAACACACACACACACACACACACACACACACACACACACACACACTGTCAGTACTGTAATTAAAGTTTAATCTTTTTGCTCAAAAGCCTCTGTAACAAAATAATTTGTCAACATAACTATGCCAGATATCGCTATGTTATTGTTTCAGAACTGTGAAGTGGAGTCCATCCTAAAGACATGTCCTGGGATAAGACAAATGGAGAGAGGCTTGTTTATGTTGACCATCTGTGTTGATGTTCCTTCTTGTTTGTTCCGCAGATGAATCGGCCAATCCAGGTGAAACCAGCTGACAGCGAGGGCAGAGGAGGTGAGACAAGTACCTTAAATGTAGTTACACAAACACAGACACACACACACACACACACACACAAAGGTTTCAGTGTGACATACAGAAGGGTAGGTGTCCAGCTGGATCAGATAGAGATGAATTACACACAGAGGCACATTCAAATCACATTCTTTTCACCACCCTATCTCATTCGCCATTTATGTAGTCAATACTGCTCCCTGGTGGACAAACACGGTAGCTTCCATTTCTAATAACAACTTCTATTGTTTGATCAACATAGGTGTGACCAGTTAAAGGTAAATTAAGTTGATTCTTATCATTTCCTCTCTGTTCTTCCACATTATTGGTCTCTCAGAGGACAGGAAGTTGTTTGTGGGTATGCTGGGAAAGCAACAGAGCGATGAGGATGTCAGAAGACTGTTTGAGCCCTTTGGCAGCATAGATGAGTGTACTGTGTTGAGAGGACCTGACGGCACCAGCAAAGGTAAACACATACAGTACATACACTTATATAATGCCATTTACTAAATGCTGTAACTAACTCTGTTTTGTTACAGGATGCGCTTTTGTAAAATTCCAAGGACACTCTGAAGCCCAGGCTGCCATCAACAGCTTGCATGGAAGCCGCACAATGCCCGTAAGTTGCATGCTTCATATTACAAATGATTAAAAACATACACACACACACACACACACACACACACACACACACACACACACACACTCACACACACACACACACAAGGCAAACACACACATGGTCTTCCAAAGACATCTGCACGAGTCACATGGGACAGTTTGAATTTTCTGTAGGTAATAATGTAAGCAATGTAATCATCTGTCTTCTTTGCTGCTGTCCTGGGTGTCATCAAGATGCTGGGATAGGCCCAAGCCCCATATGAATCATAAAAAGGATTAAGTGGATAGAGAAAATGAATGAATTAATAAACATGGAGCCCAGTCCCATTAACACATAAAGTGGATAACATGTAACATTACAGTTGAAAACGTACTCAATGTTCACCTTTCGCTTCACAGGGAGCGTCGTCCAGTCTGGTGGTGAAGTTTGCCGACACAGAGAAGGAGCGGGGGCTGAGGAGGATGCAGCAGGTGGCCTCCCAGCTCGGCATCTTCAGCCCCATGACCCTCAACTTCCCCGCCTACAATGCCTACACACAGGCGGTCAATGCACAGGCAAGCAGTGCACGGATGCACAAAGCATCCCACGCACATATACGCACACTAAGTTTGTAAGACGAGTGCTGTGCTTATGAAAGGATGTAATAAGTTTGAAGAGGCTATCAGTGGTCTAATTGGGGCTAATGTCATTACCCAGACAACAGAACATACGTCATCTGGCATTAGCTTTCCCGCAACACACAACCATTAACCCACTGACTCGGGACATAATGGCCTTGTAATTAGATCTCTATTCATCTGTTCCTCCATCACTCCCTCTCCCTGCCCTTTCCTCTTCTCTTTGTTTCTCCCTCTCCCTTTTCCCCATATCCTCTTTACTGTCTCTTTGTCTTCTTTCTCTTTCACTTTTTCCCCTCTTTCTCCCTCCCTCCCCCTCTTTTTCTCCATCCCCTTCCTCTCTCTCTCTCTTTCCATTTCCTGTCTACAGCTTGTCCAACAGCAGGCCCTGGTTGCCCAGTCAGCGTACTTGTCTCCTGTTGCAACAGTTGCCGCCGTACAGATGCAGCAGATGGCGGCGCTCAATGCCAACGGAATCATTGCCACACCCATCACACCCCTCACGCCGTCCTCGGGTAGGCTCACACACAAACACACACACACACACTCACATGCCATGCATACTGAACTTGTTTATGCTCAGACACATGCACAGGAGCTGTATTGTGTAGAATATAGTGGTCTGTAGATGTAGTTATCAGCTGTATATTATAGCACAACATTTGAAAGGGTTTTTATTATGATCCGCAGTATTTTCCCTGAGATGCTTTGCATCATCAAAATAACAATTAAAGTTTACAGCGCTTAGTTATTCATGTGTTTTATGGATTTTTAAGATGTAGACTAACAGGTGTAGTTAAATAGGTATAGTTGAAGAGCGGCAACTACGGGCTCATTTTCTGGAATGTGATCTCCATCTGTAGGTACAAACACTCCACCAACTATGGCTGCAACGCCTGTGCCATCTCTCCCCCCGCCATTAGGAGTGAACGGTTACAGCAGTCTGCCAACCACCAATGGACAACAAGCAACAGAAGCACTATACACCAATGGCATTCACGCATATCAAGGTTTTTTGTTTGTCTTTTTTAAAATTGGTTATGGTTACTCAAAGAAAAAAGTACATAACACATAAATAAATAAATACTATCACAAAAATAAATTGATTGATTAAGAAAGAAAGAAGGAAAAAATCGAGAGAGAATAAATTGCATTAGTCTTTTACTGAAAATCTTCATCTTTCTAGCTTTATGCATTCCAAGATTTCCGGTATGAATCTGTTGTGTGTAGAATGGGAGTTTTCCATTTAAGAAGAGCGCCCAACAGAATAGTAAATGCTTTGTTGTGGAGGGCATATTCGGTGGGAGACCAAACAGGGCTGTCAGAGGGTCAATAGGCATATTGAGGGCCTGACTAAATATTAAGGTATTTAAATAAAATCTAAGAAGCACTTAAAGACTATTGCAATTGAGACTTAAACGAAGGGAAATCTGAGATTTATGAGCCCATTGTTTGTCTTGTTTTCATTCTCACTGCTTTTCTATTTCGTATATCTCTACAGCTCAGAGTCCGGTCCTGGACCCCCTACAGCAGGCGTATGCAGGCATGCAACACTACACAGGTTGGTGTAAGTGTACAGCCAGGTGACCAAAAAGCTTGATGAATATCCCACTGTGGGTTGGGATGGTATATGGATCCCCAATGTAAATACTTGTATATTGCTTTTTAAAGAAATCCCTTCCGGTTCAGTAAGGCAGCTCATGCAGTAGGTTGAATCAGAATACATGTAAATAGGGAACAAGGAAGGTCAGGTGTCTGCTTTCAGACCTTCGTCTCAAGGGTGGAAGACTTTCAAGGGCAATTTATTTTGTTATGATTCATCCGATTTCAGTGACACAGATTAATGGCCGGTAAATGTAATACAGCTAATGACACCTTTACACCATCCGAATACATGATTCATACTTATGGAGTAAATGGGGGGGGGCGGCGCACCAGACTCAGACCAACAATGTCATTGTTGTTGTGTCTTGCTCCGTTCAAGTGTTACATTTAATAGTTTTCACCTTCAGCAGCAGACGTTTCAGTTTCAAACCGAATGATTCTATTGGACACTGCCATGTTGCCACCTGTTGTTTTTACCCAATCAGAATTTTGTTACCGTCTCTCCCAATAGCGGCGTATCCTGCTGCCTACGGATTGGTCGGCCAGCCGTTCCCCCAGCAGCCAACACTGGTTGCCCAGCAACACCAGCAGCCCCAGCAACAGCAGCAGAGAGAAGGTGATGTGACTTCCTTTACTGTCTGGGGCCACACCCACAATGATCTTATTTAAAGTTGTTTATCACAAGGTTTTCACTGCCTGAGATAATTTATCACACTCTAATGTGTGTTTCAGGTCCAGAGGGCTGTAACATCTTCATCTACCACCTGCCTCAGGAGTTCAGCGACTCTGAGATGCTGCAGATGTTCCTGCCCTTTGGCAATGTCATCTCGGCGAAGGTGTTTGTTGACCGGGCCACCAACCAGAGCAAGTGCTTCGGTGAGACACACAGACGGGGAGAAAGAGGGAGGGAAAGGGGAGAGCAGAGAAAGGAAAGGACGAGTGACAAAGACTGGGTGACTTTGTGGAGCATAAGATATCGTGTCTGTTTAAATTTGACATCTTGGTTAAGTTGAGACAAAGGCACGATCAACAACTTTTCATTTTCTCTCTCTTTTTCCAGGATTTGTGAGTTTTGACAATCCAGCCAGCGCTCAGGCCGCCATTCAGGCCATGAATGGCTTCCAGATCGGCATGAAAAGACTGAAAGTGCAGCTGAAAAGGCCCAAAGATGCCAACCGCCCATACTGAGTGACAACTGAGAGGAGGAGGAAGACATAAAGAGAGGTGAGGTGGTGAGTGAGGAGGTGTTGTATGTTTGGGAGAGCCAGAGAGAAGAAAAAAAACAACCTGGAGAAGTTAGCGTTAGCTTTGACACTGCAATGCTAATTGATGGTAGATGGTAGTTAAAAAAGAAAGAGCTTAACATGACATAACAGTGAATATACTACGTTGGGTTACTCATATGAAAACAACTAAAATACTAAAATATTGTTTTCCTTATTTATTTTCTTTCCTGCTGTTTTGATCTTTTTCCTGAAACGGCAACTTACCTCACCCAAGATCCTTCCGTCCAATCATAATTCACCAGGACCCCATCGCTATGGCAAAGGTTGCCTAGTGACCGATAAAGCCCTGACCCCCCCTTCCTCTCGCATTGTTGTAAGTTGATTGGTTGGCCTGTGTTTGGGTTGCTGTGGCGATTGATTGCCTGTGTTGGTTGCCTTTGGCAAATTTTTTGTTCTGTCACCTCGAGCAACCAGCCATGCGTTGACCTGCATGTCCTGTTGCTGTAGTGACCACAGACTGTGTTTGGTGCATTGTGACTTTATTTTGTATTGACCTGTGCACATACTGATCAATAACTGTCTAGAGCCAGGATCGTACTCAGAATCAATTGATTTAATTGGATATTTGATATTCATTGTATAGTCATTTGATAAATTCTACAGCAACGCTAGTTATTTTATTTGCAGCTTTGTTTTTGATCAGTTTCTGTAGTGTTCTGTTTGGTGTCATTTTATTATTTGAACAACTTGTTTGGGTAATGTGTCTGTTAGTGTGTAATGCAGGAGTGCGTAATCCTTGTTGTACCGGTGTCTGCAAACAGAGGTTTTCCAGAGGTTTCCATAGAGTGGACTGGTGGAGAAATGTAGACCAGCATGACAGTTTACTGCAAAATATGACATTATTTTAATGAAAAATGTAACATGCTATTATGATATTATGCAACATACAACAATGACAGGCCATGTTGGACAAGAAGCCTTGAAATCATTATGCAGTACTGAACATAGACGTTTAAATATGGCTACAAATGGGCCACACAGGTTAGGATGGAATGGAAAGTTTTATGCCAAAAGCACACTATTTTTGGGCGAGCATGCATTTTGTTGAGCTGTACTCTGATAGGCTGAGTTTTATATTTCTGGATTCTGATTTGTTACTCTGTTTGATGTGGCACTTTAGTCTTTTGCTCCTTTGTTTCTCTTTCTTGGTCTCTTTTACATCTCCTATCAGTGCATTTGTGGTGTTTCCTCCCTCCTTCCCTCCCTCCCCCCTTCACTGCTCCCCTCCTCCTTCTCTTTTGGTCCACTTTTCTCCTCCTACTTGTCCTCCCTTTTCTCTGTCAAACTCTGTCTTCGCTTCTCCTCTTCCCAACCTCCTCCCTCTCTGTCCTTTTAGCTCGTGTTTTGAGGTAAAGGGTATGTGGTTGTTATGGTGGAAAAACAAGTGCCTCTTGCTTATTGGAGAACAGCCCTCAACTATAGGAATTCTGGGAGAAATATAATAAAGAGAGAATAGCGGATATATTTAGTTTGAGGTAAATTCAATCCTCAACAAACCCCCAACCTTAACCAAAGAGAAGAAAATGTGTAGCTGCTGTCAGACCAGTGTGTGGACGCACCGTCACACGGCAGCACACATTATAAATAAAGGATCCTGTTTCTATTTCTAGACAAAGTTTTATATAATAAATCCGTGTGGATACCCACCACCATGTCCCCACATCCGTCAGATACAAATTATCACCCAGAATTTCTATACTGCAAATGCCAGAGAGTGATGCATGACGGTGGTAGTGTTTGCTTGCCATGATTTGAGGCACATGAGTGCAGCACATGCTCATAAGGACACACACATAAACACATATGGAGCTTTACAAACATGCGCACACATGTATAACCTCCAGACACACACTATCAAGTCACACAAGGACACGAATAACGTTTTATTTTTCACTGTATTGAGTTGCATGATCCAGACACTGTGTGTGTATGTGTTAAAGCACCATGATTTATTGCTGTTGAAAGACAAAGCTTTACAACTGAGAATGATGCCTTCTTGTTTTGACTCACCGCGATGAAACTGAAACAAAGACGAGCTAGGAGCACCCTTAGGTGCAGTTTGCTGCCAGACGTATGAAAGCAGTTCAAGTCATGCCGACAAGAGTTTTGTTTGGTGGGAGGAGCATGTTTGACAAGATGTAAAGATCAGACAGAAACATGGAACTCCAGTTTATTTTTAACTCTGCTTTCTAACATGTTCTTCCTCCTTCTCTGTCCCTCCCTCCTTGTTTCTGTATCGCTCCCTCTACCCCCAAAAACTCTCCATCCCCTCACAGGTGACCTTTCAGAGTCCAGCCGAGGTGGAATCCCAGGGTTCATAGCGCTTTCAGACTGTCCGCTACCTTTGAGCGTCCGGGGAGTGCAGCCAAACACACTGACACACACTCAAATGAATACACATGCACTCGCAACGCTGACCCTCGAACGGTACAAGGCTGATATACAAATGTACATAAAGTGCACAACCACACACACACACACACACACACACACACGCCTGCAGACACTCACAAAATACACACGGTTCACACCAGTCAGTAATCTTACCCATACAACCAAAAGTTCGGTTTGACCGCGGTGTGTGTAAAGTTTGACAACAGGGTGTTTAGTACAGTTAAGACAACTCAGACCGAGCGTGTATGGAAGATACTGATGAAAAATGCTGATATATCACTTCAATAGACTTTAACATGTCTATACCATGACAAATATAGAGGGGCCGATGTTTCATAATAAAAAAAAGAAAGAAAATACAAAAAAGATGACTAAATGAGTAGGTTAGAGAGAGACTTTGGAGAAAATCCTAACGACCTGTAAATAATTTAGTTTACAAAGAGCAGCATTTAAAAAAACAAGAAAAAAATGCAAAAAGAATACTACTTTAGATAAACACTGAACAGGACACAGCGACATTATTATTATTATTATTATTATTATTATTATTATTATTATTATTATTATTATCATTATCATTATTATTACCACTAGTAACATCATCATCCTCATAAAGGGATATTACATTCCAAATTGTAAAATGGGAAATCACTAACCTATTTTAAATTTCTACTTAGATTTTAGGTGAAACTTGGGGGTGGGGGGGATTGCACTTTTATTCGGGAGGTTTTAATATTTGAGCTATTTTTTATTTATTTACTAATTTATCAATTATTTTGTTTATTGGGAGAAGGGGTTTGAGTGGGTTGCAATATTTTGATTTTAGAATTTTCTAGAGAAAACCTTTTGAGGGCCTGTTTCTGTCAGACTCTTGCAATCGAGTAATTATAATGTATGTATTAATTATTACAGCAATTATATTTATTTCTAATTTATTGAATCCTGTTTTTGATCCACTCTCTTTTTAAGTTAAAATAAAAAGTATCATACTAAATGTCCTAATGTGATTTTTTTAAGTGTGTATGTGTTTGTATGTGTGAAGAAATTTTAATGATTAATTTCCACAAAATTCTCGATTTGAATGATTCTGTACAAAAATGCCACAGACATGAGAGCGCACATCCATCTTCTGACCAGAAGGGGGCGGAGTTAGAAAACACATTACCAGAGAAGAAGAGATGCGTTTTCACACAAAATAAGGTGATGTGCCAAGCTTGTTATCTCCTCTATTCGTTTAAGGGAGTAACCGACTTATTTATCAGCAGAATTAAATACTGGATTTGTTTTATCTTTGTGAGCACGCTGCCTGTACACTCTTCTCCCTCGTTTAATGAGATGATCATAGTTTAATTTACCAAAAGTGCTCAAGTCAATTTATGAGATTATTACTGAGCATGATGACACATAATATCGTATTTCTCCCCTTGTGTTTTTCAAACTTTCTTAATCGCTCTACTGACACACTGTGTAGCGTTGTTGCTCGTAGCAGATTTAATACATAAATAATTAATTCATATTGCTTTATGTAACTATTATTAGAAATTCAATAATGATTCATAAACCCATAAATTAGTATTAAAGAATGATGGTACTTAGCTTACGCCATAAGCCACCATTAGTTTGACTAACAGTATTTAACATAAGATTACATTTTCAGAAGTTTTAATATATACATATATAATATAGGGACTTAAACTTCAGAATGTGATATTAATCAATTAAATCTTAATCTCAGGGTTTACATTATTTCATATACACACAAATCAAATTATCAAGTTCTTTATAAATGAAATATTTATTTGACTAACTACATAACTAAACTACTAAACAGAAAATAAATGATAAAATAAATGAAATGAATGAATAAAGAATAGAATGGATTAATAATAGTTAATTGCATAGTCTTTTTCATTCTTCCTTATATGTTAAATGTGAGCTATCTCAGCTGCAAAAAGGTACCAAACAGTTGAAATCACTGAATGAACCTAATCAATTAAAGACACAACATAGATAGACATTGTAGTCATGACAGACAGACATATCCATGTGTACCTATATTAGTAAATTAATGGATAGAATTAATCTCAACATTTCACCAGAAATCAGCATGTGAGTCCCGCGCTGTGGTTGAAATACAACATCCAGTTTATATGGCAGGAAACTACAAGAATTGTAAACAGAGTTGGCTATCATGAAATTAACTATGCATAACTTGTATAAACTCAGAAGTTTTAATATATAGTATATAAAATACAGGGGCTTACTACGACTGTGCCTAGAATATAAAGTAAAGGTTTCTTTAAGTTGTCTATTACAATGGACGCTCTCACAAACCACAGAGGTTGGGTCATAATTGTGGCGTCAGCCGTAGTGGTTTGAGTGCCACGGTTTACCCAAAGTCTTTTTTCTTGGCTCATTGGCTCCCTGAGTCATTTAGAATCACTCATGACCCGCTGGTGAACTACAACCCAGACCTTGAGAATCAATGATGTAGCCTATAGGTCACCTTCATATGAGGGGCATCTCACCTTCACGTGAGGGGCATCTCACCTTCACCTGACGGGCACCTCAACTTCACATGAGGGGCATCTCACCTTAACCTGAGGGGCACCTCACCTTCACAGGAGGGGCATCTCACCTTCACACGAGGGGCATCTCGCCTTCATACGAGGGGCATCTCACCTTCATGTGAGGGGCATCTCACCTTCACGTGAGGGGCATCTCACCTTCACACGAGGGGCATCTCACCTTCACACGAGGGGCATCTCACCTTCACACGAGGTGCATCTCACCTTCACGTGAGGGGCATCTCACCTTCACACGAGGGGCATCTCACCTTCACACGAGGGGCATCTCACCTTCATACGAGGGGCATCTCACCTTCATATGAGGGGCCTCTCACCTCCTATGAGGGGCACCTCACCTTCACATGAGGGGCACCTCACCTTCACATGAGGGGCACCTCACCTTCACGTGAGGGGCATCTCACCTTCATACGAGGGGCATCTCACCTTCATATGAGGGGCCTCTCACCTCCTATAAGGGGCACCTCACCTTCACATGAGGGGCACCTCACCTTCACGTGAGGGGCATCTCGCCTTCACGTGAGGGGCATCTCGCCTTCACCTGAGGGGCATCTCGCCTTCACCTGAGGGGCATCTCGCCTTCACGTGAGGGGCATCTCACCTTCACCTGACGGGCACCTCAACTTCACCTGAGGGGCATCTCACCTTAACCTGAGGGGCACCTCACCTTCACATGAGGGGCATCTCACCTTCACACGAGGGGCATCTCACCTTCATACGAGGGGCATCTCACCTTCACGTGAGGGGCATCTCACCTTCACACGAGGGGCATCTCACCTTCATACGAGGGGCCTCTCACCTCCTATGAGGGGCACCTCACCTTCACACGAGGGGCATCTCACCTCACTGACTTTGTCCATGTGAATCCGCAGCAAATGTTCAAACAGTAAGTATCTGGGCTGAGCTGTTTTACAGGCGCTAGGTTAGTCAGACCTTGAAAGTCATTCTGTACAGCAGGTCGACATGTCACCCCTCACAAGCTTTTTGTATAGTTCATGGATGGGTCACAAGGATAGCATGGTAGACGTACTCCACTGTGGCCGAAGTGCAAACATTGCACTGCCCTGAAAGGCAAACATTTGGAATTGCTTTTGTTTGTTTGTTTAAAAAGTTTAAAGGCACTTGTTTTTTTAAAGATTGAGTACATATTGTTTGAATAATAACCTTTTTATTTACTCACTCAAACTGTTCTCCAGACAGGAGATAATTTGAGGTGACGTAAACGTTTCATTACAAATGTAGGTGTTGGCCACAGGGCTCTGCCAACAAGTAACTCTCATTCTCATTTATTAAACTTTTCTCCGTGCGGAAACAAAATGCGGATGTGTGTTTTGTGTGTGTCAGCCATGGATGTATCAGCCAACTGCTCTCATGTGCTCGGACGTCATCTTTGTCCCTCCCTCTCCCTTATCCTCTCACTCCTCCCTCTGTCTGCTCCTCTCGCTCCGTTCTCGTGCTGGCGCGTCCTCCTCCACCTCCGCCCGGCCCGACTCCCAGGAACACACAAGACGGGGAGACATTTGCTGGGGAGAAGACGAAAAGGGGAAATAGACTGAACATCTGTTGTGGGTGGTGGGGGGGAGAAATTTGGGGTCGCATTGCAGTATCTCACACATTGTCCCATGTGGAGACACTTTTCTGTTTTTACCCCCTCATCAGTGTCTTTATTGGGAGGAAAAACAAACTTTGTACGCCATGTAAAGGTGTAAAAATCTGAGCGGATGCTAAACTCGGATCCTACCGGTTGGGAAACAGGACCGTTAGGTTTCTAGCTAGTTAGCTAGCTAGGAGGGACCTGGACGACTTTGTGTGAAAAATACAAACGTATTTTTTTTTTTTTTAACCGCAAGCCGCATTTCACGCTTCACTACGAGGAAAACACACCAAAGTAAGTAACGTAACCGTTTCACTTTCATGTACGGAAAGTCGACGTTATTCGTGTATCTTTGCGTTAACGGTGGGCGCACGCGCCGCATCCTTTTACTTCGCTCAGACGTCATTACGCATTCATCTAGGAATCTGTTAATTAAACACAACAAACGGGCCCCTGTGGGTTTTTTAACGGCAAAAAAACACATTAATGTTGGGGGGTGGTATTGTCGTAACGATATGAAAGTAAGTTAATAACCATTGACCGCGGTTGTATAATATGAGGACCTAATGAAGACACAGGGGGAAGCCTGGCGCGTGGCCCAGTGTTGGGTCGGTTTTTAAAGTTTGCTAACTAGCAGCAGATTATGTCACATTATCACTGTAACAGGTCACTGTAACATACGCTGCATAACTACAGGCCGGTGATACAACACCACGAGTTTACAGACAGAAGTGCTCCGGGTCATAGCACGTGGAGACCTTTTTACATGGTATCTGTTTATGCTTTAATGACTGTGATTTGTTTGAGTTTGGGACCCCCTCCTACCATTGTGGTCTTCACTTAGCTCTTCCTCTAACGTCTCCCTTATCGAATAGCTACATGTAGGCTAGTGTGAACACCACAGTGATATATATGAGATTGTATGAGAGTAAGATTATCTTAAATTGAGATATGGTAGGTTTAGACTTCTGATGGGAATAGTGTTGTTTTGTTAAACCAGATGAGATTTGTCTATATCACCATGAGCACTCGTTCATATTCAAATGAATGCAAATCTAACCCTCTTATTGATGGAAGCATCCAGCTCAAACATTATGTTGGCGCCACAAAACCTTGAGAATATCTTTTATAGGCTTTCGATTTTGGTTTATCTCTCCCTAATCTGGACAGAAAATAACCAACTATCTCTGGTCAATGATTACATCTGCTTCTTCAGCTCTTTTCGCTGACTCATCAGTAATTCAGTTGAAGACGGGAATCATTAGCATTCAGAGCCTCTACGGAAAGAATAGCCTCACATATACCCAGGGGCCGTCTAATTGCTCTGGGAGAGGTAACTGTACTTACTCAAAGGGCTGAATCCAGTCAGGATCTAGGAGAATATTTCCTTTACACCTCCCGAACAGGCCTATTCAAATCAGTCTGCTGACCGATTTAATCTCCACATTAATAATTCATGAGGGTCACAGATCAGTGTCGAATGTATTGAAGTTGATGTTCTTGTGATCTCTTTCTGTAACACATCAGACCACAGACTGGCTGTCTGCTTTTGATGATGATTTGACATTTTCTCCCACTTTCATTATATCATTTCCTGCAATCTCTGTGTTTGCGTAACCGCTGTATCTTGCACTATAGTACAAATTACCGTGCTGTTTTTGGTCAAACCGAGATCCAGAGGAATGTGTCTGACTCAACCTGAAAATGTCCAAATGCATGACCCGAGTTAAAGCTGATTAACGGTGAGCAGAGCGCATGAACAGACATTTCATCTCACAATGTGTGCATTCAGGATTTCATAGTTTGTACTGTCATGTGTAAACTGAGGTTGCATGTTGGACCACAAGAAATGAAAGTTTAGAAGGTTGACATACTTAATATTTACTGTGATCTACAGTTGAACTGATATTGATGTTTTTACTCTACTCATTTTACTCTCAGTGCTGAAATTACATGTACAGCAGTACATGTACAGTGACACAGCCCTTGGCTGCAAGTAGCAACTACTCTCATTATCAATTAGTCAGCCATGTATTTTCTCAATTTATTGTTTGGTCCATAAAATATAAGAAAATACTGAAAAAGCATCCATTGTAGAATCTCCCATATATTTAACAAACAGTCCATAGCCAAATATATTCAGTTAAATATATTTCATGTGTGACAGAGAAATCATGAAATATTCACTCCTGAGAAGCTGGAAATATTTTTAATTATTAATTAAAAGACGACTGAAACAAAATAGCTGAATTTCTTTTGTCAATTCATTGATTGACTCATCATTTTAATCACGCGACACCAAATCACATACTAATTAAATGCTTTAAGATAGAAACCCTTTTTATTGTCATATACATATACACATACACAAAATTTGACTTCTGCATTTGACCCATCCTTGTATATAGGGAGCAGTGGGCTGCCAATGACAGGCGCCCGGGGAGCCGGGGGTTTAGTGTCTTGCTCAGGGACACGTGACACGTCCCAGTCGAGGATCGAACCCAGACAACCCTCTTAAGCCAGTGAGCCACGATCGCCCCCAAGTGTGTAGTGTATCCGCTCTGTTAGGAAAGGTGGCCCATTACCTCATTTTATTATAATATCTGAGTCAATTTACAAAACAGTCAGATTCATCAGTGAAATGTGTTATGCCATCATCAGTCCAATATGTTTATATCATTTAAAATCATGTTATACTGGTGCTAATATGCTGCTTATTTATCTGACTGACTCAGCCTCATTTTGACTCTTTAGTCTTAGGACCTGTTGTGATATCAGCATGTAGTCGACGTGACGTCTCTGACTTATCAAACTTTCACGCTTGAGGTTCTGAGATCAGCTTTGAGCTCTCAAGTGTACACTGTCCAAGTGGTCCATCATTTTAAAAAGATTGTGGTTTGAGTGAGTCAGCAGTGAGTGAACAGCTTAAGTATGGATGGATGTGAGTAAATGGGTAGCTATGCCACATTTAAATAGATGTGTTTTGAGTGACTCACTGCTGCTGTCTCTTGACTTATGTTCCTCTTGTCGACTCAGTCTCCTATCATTCAGATAAACAAAGTGCTCGGTTACTTTAGAACTCCATAAAAAGTTATTAATCCATGCAAAGTGAAAGGTGAAGCGCTCCCTTGGTATAGTGGCGGTGTGTTTACATTATTTAAATATTCCTGGACTCTGTACCATGATCCTGTCGGCTCTGTTTAGGTTTTTTCTCTGAGGCCTGGTACCTTTACTTCAACACATCAGTAACATCTGGAGCTTTACTCTGCCAGCCTGAAGTTCAGTTCTGTGTTTACAATCATTAAATCCTCGTAATGTATATTCACAGTAAGGATAAGAGAGAGGAGACAGTGAGAAAACTTCCTTTCTCCCTCCCTCTGACAGAGCCATCCTTTATTTTTATTGGACCTTTGAAATGGTCAGAGTCTGGTCATATGATCCAGTGGGCCAATGGAATATGTTGTTAGGAAAGCTGTGAGGGGAAAGAGCCTTAACATGCTGCATTCACTGGATGATCTCAACTAGAAACCCTAAAATATTCTACCAAATCCTAAATCGCTTCCGCACGGCAGCAATACAAAATATAAAGAAGTTTTCCACTGTGATTGTTTATTTTCGGACGTCTGTGCATGTTTAGCACGATTACACTTGCGAGCAGTTTATAGTCGGTTGTTATTAAGGGGAATCATTTAATACACAGATAAGTCAACGGAGTGTGTGCTCAGAAGCTCATTCGGTGATCTGTTTTTGGTTGGACCACGCTGCTCCTCATGAAGCCAAACATGCACACAAACAAGCTGTTCAGCAGAGCACAAGATCTGTCGGGACACACCAGGAGGAGTGAGGCGCAGTGCTACTGAAGTGGAAGAGTTGGCAAAATAACTAGGAATAATGTGTCACCCTTCCTATCCACCAACACCTGGGCTGAGGGGAGAGAGCGAGAGAGAGAGAGAGAGAGAGAGGGAGGTGAGAGGGAGAGAGGGCTCGGCCAGCCATGCTGTTGCAACAGGAAACGGCGGCCATGACTAATAACCAACACACATGTGTGACATTGTCTCATGGATGGTAGACAAAGATGTGTGAACATTTTGCAACTTCTGTAAAGTTGAAGTGATTAGGTGATATCTTGATACGTCTATCGCCAAACCCCAAAAAAACAATTCTATACAATCAATGAAGTCACTATACTCTGGTTTAGCTTTTTAAACACGACTATTTGCTGTTTTCTTAGTTTTGATAGTAAACTGAATACTTGGGGGTTTTAGTCTGTTGGTCAGAAGAAAGTCAATGTGAAGAAATCACCTCTGGAATCTGGGAAATATGAATTAACAAGTTCTTCTATCTTTTGACATTTTGTTGAACAAACTCTGAATCAAGGAACTAATGAGTAGATTATTTGATCATGTAAATGATTGCAGTGTTGCAGCCCTAATCTTCAGAAAGGAAAGGACTTTAGTCTTTAACCACACTGCTTCTCTTCAGGCGAACCTAACCCAAACCTTCATATCCGAGTCTAATTTCAGCTGCATGTTTTGAAGATAAAGTCGAGGGAGTGGTTGGGGTGAGGGATCATTACACATGGCTCAAAGAGGGAATCCTTCTTGATTACTGGTGGGGAGCAGCAGGGTGGGGATGGGACTGGAAGTGAAGCGCTTACAGGGCTTTGGAACTCCCCTTCCACACAATACAGCTGCATCGGATGGAAGGGGAGTTACTGTAGATCTGCAAGGGGACTCCAGAGATGTGTGGATGAATCATGACTCACATCTCTCAGCTGCTAGTTCTCCCCCCCCCCCCCCTTTTTTTACTCTCTTTCTCTGCCACTCCCTGAACTTAGCAGCAGAATAATGTCATTCATCTCCGTACTCTCTGTATATAAAGACAACATTCGCAGCTGCTGTCAACAGTTCAGGAAAGTGCTGATGTTGAAAGCACGAGGCTCAGTTGTTGGTCTGATTTCTCCTCCTCCACTGAGCTCCCAGCATGCTGCTTGTGCTCTGTTATATGCATTAGGTAAAAAACTACAGGCGGTATTCCAGTGAGAGGGAAACATTGGTGCCATCATCTAATTCTCTTAATGGCATGGTAGCAAACATTCCCAGTCACAGATGTCTTGTGGATTCAGATTTTAGGTGGAACCGTATTTGTCAGGGTGTGGGTTCTGCCTCTAGAACTTGTGTATCTTGGGTCTTGAGCCTTTATCTTTACCACCTGATAAACCCGTAGAGCTGGTGCTGACTCTTTGTGTGTCCCGTGTTGCAGGATGCTGTTGGGGCTGAGCGAGTGGTTCTGGCAGGAGCGGCTGTGGTTTCCAGAGGGCCTGGGCTGGGCTGACCTGGAGGACCAGGATGGACGAGTGTACGCCAAAGCCCACGACTTGTGGGTGGCGCTGCCCATCGCCCTTATATTCCTCATTATCCGTCAGGTCTTTGAAAGGTCAGTCACTGAATATCTGCGCCCCTCATCGAAGTCTTTGATTATTGATTCAAAACATGTTCAGTCCAGTCTCTTGTCTTTTTCCTTTGATGGCTGTCTTCTCCTCCTCTTCTTTCTCCTTCAGTCTGCCCATTGTGCTGACCTCTAATTATTTTATTTTATTTTATTTTATTATGTTCATCTGTTACTTTTATCTCTGCTAATATTTAATGTTCCTAATGCTGTGCCCTTCTCTAGAACAAGTAAAGCTCCGTTCATTCAAGTGACTCGTATTGTTTTTTATAGTACTTATTTATTTAACTTGTCAGTATAAACACTTACCTCTCATCATCCTAACCTCTAATGATTCAAATTATCTTTATGTCTATATGCTTTGTTTCCCTCAAATTTGAATTAATTCCTCACAAATTAAAAGAGTTTCTGTGATTGCACCCTGTACTGTGAGCGTCTTTGAGTACCCTTTAAAGCGCTATACAAATAAAATGTATTGTTACTGTCTTTAAATTCTCTGCATTTCATCTCCTTTTAATCTTTCCAACCTTTTTGTGACTGCAGGACGGTGGCTACACCCCTGGCTTCTCTGCTCGGGGTGAAAGAGACGGTGCGGCTCAGAGTCCCTCACAACCCCACACTGGATTCCTACTACTGTAACATTACCAAAAACCCCACACAGGTACGTGTCCGAACACTTTAAAAAGACAGAGGAGTGGGCTGTGTGTTCGGTCAGGAAATTGAATACTTCAATCGGATCTCTTTGTGCTGTTCTCAGACTTCAATAGCAAGTCTTTGCAAGCAGACCGGCCATTCAGGAAGACAAGTGCAGCGATGGTTCAGGAGACGACGGAACCAGGACAGGCCGAGTTTGCTCAAAAAGTTTCGAGAGGCCAGGTAAGCACGCGCATACGCACACACACACGCACACTTAAACATATATATGCACATATGTCTATAGAGTTATGGAGCAGGTTGAAACAGCTGCTAACCCTTGCGTTCCTCTGGCTATATGAGCACATTTCTGAGGGCAAAAGTAGCCCTCTATTTTTAACATGCACTCATTACAATGCCACTCCGCTGCTACCATGCCTGTAGCCCCGACTTATCTCACACACACAAACACACACACACACACACACAAATCCCTTCACTCACACTCATTAGCACAGGGCCTCGGCAACAGGGGCTCTGTCACCACTGTTGGTCATGTTCATGTGTGAGCGTTAACTGAGTTAAACCAACAGCATGATCACCTGATGATACGAGGCTAATGAAACTAGCTAGGGTCAGCTGGCAGGATTCACACCGCGGTAACAGATGACACTTAGAATATACAAGCAGTACTACAGATAACCATATCTAAGAGAGGGCCATAAACAGCAACAGATAGCAGCATCACACTGTTAGCATCACTAGGACTGACAGGCAGTGCATGTCGACAAACACTTTCATAGAAGACTTGTTCATGCATTATTACACCCCATGTGTTGTGCTCAATGTAGAACTTCTTTCTAGTGACGTCACTGTTGTAACCATTCGCTTAATTGTCATGGTCGTTATTAATGTGTGTCGACAAGGGTCAGTTCACCCAAATTACAAGAAGACACGGTCTTGTTGTGAGCACTTTTCACTGGAACTAAAGGAATAGTCCCTGAAAAAGTCATTCTTGACTTTGGAAACAGCAGTTTACCAAAAATTCATCTCCATTAATAGCTGTTCTGGAGCGTTTGAACATATCACATGATTTTCTACAGTAGATGCTCATTAGCTTGGAAATGTTTTCTTCGCACTTTAACATTTCAAAGGATTTGTTTGCATTTTTTTCCAAGTCTATCTTAAAACAAGTCAGGTGCCCATAAAGGCCCATATAAGCTTGCTGTAATCATTCCTCCTGTACATACTGGACATGAAAAGGTGTGATGTCACTGTGTACATATGGGCACAGACTTAAAAAAACATAAAACCTTTACAAATTTAACCCATGACTAAAACAAAAGTTTTTTTGTTGTAATTTTGGTGAAGTGACTCTTTAATCTGCAAGAAGACGAATCTGTCTGCAGTGTGTATGTCTCTGCTGTATATGTGTGTGTGATTGCAGATTGATGTTCTCGACTGCGTCTTTGTTTTGGTGTGTTTTGGTGTGTCTCTTCCTGTACTTGGTATGACGTTTCTCCTCTGAATCAATCTGTTGTTTGTGTGCACACAACAGGCGTTCTGTTACTCTCCCTTACTTTTCCCACCAGTGTATCATTTACACTCTCAGTGTCTCTTCTTCTCATGTTCACTTTCCTATTCTTGTGTACTGTTTGTCTCCACTGCTGTGTAGTGGGAATGACCCCCTTCCTGTCTCTGTTACCGGATTCACAGGGAGGAAACAGTCTGTGTCACGTGTTTGGCTGTGTGTGTGTGTGTGTGTGTGTGTGTGTGTGTGTGTGTGTGTGTGTGTGTGTGTGTGTGTGTGTGTGTGTGTGTGTGTGTGTGTGTGTGTGTGTGTGTGTCCTGATTTGACATTCTCAGTGCCGTTCACATTTTTCTGGGCTGTTCATTCAGCTTGGCATTTCGATTCTGGCATTCTTGAGTGTTTGGGACTGTCTGTTCGTGATGTGTTTACAAGTCTGCTGGTAGAAAATGTGTCTATTGTCCTCTCCCCATTGACTGAGTAGAACGTTTGTTTGTATGTGTGTGTGTTCTCTTGCAGTTGGAGATTTACCTTTTACCTTCTTGCTTTCATTGCTGGCCTGGCCTCCCTCATCGATGTGAGTACTGCCACGTTAACCTTGACCCCCTCCTCTTCTCGCCTTTTTATGTTCACGTGCTCATTCGTCACCTGCCCGGCCATCGTAATATGACAGTTTCCACAGTAGTCTGTCTTTTTTTTTTTTTTTTGCTGTGATAACCTCACCTCCCGCACTTTTAGAGGAGCGGCGCTGACTCATTGCCGTGCTGAGTTAGTAGATATAAATACATTCAAATCGCATCTCTCCTTCCAGAAACCTTGGCTGTATGACGTGAAGGAGATGTGGCAAGGTTTCCCTGTGCTGGTAAGTTTCTGGGATGTACACTGAACGCACCAGTATCTGAGTGCAACAATGCTAACTCATTTCCAGGTTGTAGGATGCAATTCTTTAATTCTTATAATGGACATCTTTCACTGTTTTCTGACATTATTATAGACCAAACTATTAATGAATTGATCAAGAGAATAAAGATAAGATCAATCAGTAATAGTGATGATAATGGCTAGTTCCCAATATATTTGTGCTCAAATTGGTGTATTGATATTGACCGTAACGCTGTTTCCTCTCCTTCAGACTCTCCTGCCATCTCAGTATTGGTACTATATGATTGAGCTGGGTTTCTACAGCTCTCTGCTGTTCAGTGTGGCTTCTGATGTCAAACGCAAAGTGAGTGCATTCATTTATTCATCTCTTCTCCTTAGTTCTGGTTGGTATAAAACAACAACACTTTAACGGTAACAGAAGGAAAAGATACACAGCAATAACTGTTAATGGAAAACAAATAGAATCTCTACAAACAGAAGTTTGTGTTTAATAACCACTTTAATGTGGTTATTGCATCATACTGTATGTCAGAGGACACTATGTTCTTACTATCTGATCAGTTTGACACCTGGCTGGACATTAGACTGTTGTTACACGTGTGTTTGTATGTCAGTGTGTGAGTGTTTGGACTTTGCTCAGCCAGGGTCAGTCAGCCCAGTGGGAGAAAATCTTGCAAAAGAGGCACAATGTGTTCCTTCAACAGATTAGTCTAACATAGATGCCTCTTAAGCAGAGTTTAACACTTCACACACACACACACACACATACACTTAAAACATGTGAGACATAAATATATATTCCCAACATTTCCCTTGTTTCAGCATAACAACCATGTCTCCTTGTGCCTTCTCTTTAGGACTTCAAGGAGCAGATAGTCCACCATGTGGCTACCATCCTCCTCATCAGCTTCTCCTGGTGCGTTAACTACATCCGTGCTGGAACTCTCATCATGCTGGTTCACGACTCCTCCGATTACTTCCTGGAGGTAAACGCCATTCATACACTCATAGTATTTTGTTTAGCACACAAGCAAACATGTGAATGGGGCCAGTATGAATAATTATCCCCACATCATATGTTATGTTGATGTCATTTATACCTACTATGCTGCAACATGCTGCAAGTTTAGTTCACACTTGATTCACTGAGTGCAATGAAACTTCAACTGAGACGAACTCGGACACACTGATGACACATTGCCACCTTGTGGAGGAAACTACACTTTAGTTCTTCTTTCGTAAACCGACGACCATTTTCATTCTTCAAACAAACAAATTATATATTTATCTGCAGCTGACTGATTAAACACTTTTCCTTTCTTTCTCCCTCTGACAGTCTGCAAAGATGTTCAACTACGCTGGGTGGAGAAATGCCTGTAACTACATCTTCATTGTATTTGCTGCAATCTTCATCATCACTCGGCTGGTCATCTTCCCCTTCTGGTACACACACACACACACACACACACACACATGTTTTAAACAATTGTTTCAGCATATTATTGTGATATGCACCTGTTTGTTATTTAAGTGACCTTGTCCTTAATCCTCTCTCTCTATTGCAGGATTATTTACTGTACTTGGGTTTACCCAGTGACCATCTATGAACCCTTCTTTGGCTACTACTTCTTCAACGGACTTTTGATGACTCTGCAGTGTCTTCATATCTTTTGGGCTGTGCTCATTATACGCATAGCAATCCGCTTCCTCACCCACAATGTAAGCAAACAAAGAAATCTAATGCAAAGTTCAATATTCTGTTTTCCATCCATTTAGTCTCTGAAATTTCAAAGCTCACATCTTCATCATACAGCATTTATTAAGAGACAATTAGACAGTAAATAAAGATAAACCAGATGAAATAAAATACTCGAAAAGGAAAATAAGAAAATGACATGTACTCCGTACTGAAAAGCTGAAGCTGAAACATTTGAAATACCAAAAGAAGTTAAAATGAACTCGCAGTCAAAGCCTTGCACTCCTGTTGCATCGTTTTTTTTTTAAAAAGGATAAAAATCGCAGAAGCAGAGATCTCAGCTTTTTTATTCCACACATCTGTCTTACTTGTCCAAAATTTTGATGCCTACATTATCCACAATGCAACTCAACCACTCACAGTTTTGTTTGAGATTTGGGTGTTTTATGCTAATAGCAGTTAATTGAAAGCAATGGACTCTGTGCTTACATCCTCATCATCCAGCCTGGACCCACAAGATATAATATGACACATAAAAACTATAAATACATAAAACATAACAATGTATTTCATTCAAGCCATGGAAGAGATATAGGAATATTAAAATCCATGTCTTTTTATGGATCTTTTGTGTACAACAAGACACACACACACACACATTTATAAACAACTGGATGAGTTGAGTTTGTTCTGACAAAGTTTGACACAGTTTGTTTGTTTGTTTGTTTTTCAGGAAAAAGTGGACGATGAAAGAAGTGACAAAGATGAAACGGATGAGTCAGAAGAGGGGGAGGGAGAGGAGGATAAAAAGGACATGAAGAAAAATGGGCCGGTGCAGAACGGTCACACGGTCCACAACAACAACCACAGCAAGACAGAGTGAAAGCAAACAAGTGTCAGGACGAACAAACGCGAGAAGGACTCATATCCCTCGGTGGGGGAGCAGGAGGGAGGGATGAAAAGAGAGAGAAAGTAGAAAAGGATTGTGGGTTAGCGGGGGGGGGAAGCCATTCCCCGAAAGCCAAGAACAGCAGGTATCCTGAGGAAATTTGACACTGTTACTTTTTGCACAACACAAAAACACACTCGCACACAGTCATTCGTCCCTTAGAGGGCGCAGCGGTCCGGCAGATGATACACACTACATTAAGTGGCAAGGCTGTTTAGCTTTGTCATGAAAAGAAAATGTGTCGTTGTCAGTTTGTGATGTCAGTCCAAATGTTTCATAGAGATAGGGCAGAAAATGGACAGAGGAGGGGGTGATGGTGCTTCTTCTTAGCTTTCCTTGTTCTGTGTGCCTTAGAGCCAGCTAATGGCTGTTAAAATGCCATTTAAAAAGAAAAAAAAAGCTTTCTGCTTTAATCTGGTGTTGCTTTATTTTGTTGCATCTTTTTTGTTTTCTAATAGAAGAACAAAAGAGAGTGAAATTGAGACAACAGGGCATTTAATTCCCTAATTTTTCTGTCTATGCAATTACGTAAGTGTTCAGCTATTGCACCGTCTTTGCACAAACATACAGTGTCTCTGATATACTGGAATAGCGAACAGCGGGACTACATGCCTCTGCTCTCCAGCGCGGCCTCTGCCATTTAAAAAAATGTCTGCCTTTTAAGGTTTAAGGAGTAAATTTAGTGTCATTTCCGTCTATAAACATAAAGAACATCTTGCTTTCTTGTTTTAATCGATGTTCTATTCTTAAGCCAGCATAGCTCTTTATTGTAAAACTCCTTCTTCCAGAAGAGATATCTGACCTGCAAAGGTTGTCATTCTCAGTTCTTTTCTGTTGGAGCCGTCAGAAACACCCAGAAACGAGTGCTGAGCACAAACACTGCAATATAAATCTCAGCTTCCTGCTAGTTTTTGACGGAGTTGAATGTTTTTCCTCTCTGGTTTGGCTATAGCGGTTTGATCCGGTTGAGTCGGGAATCATGCTGATGCTGCCGCCCGCTGTAAACCGATGACTCTCAATAAAATCATTGCGGCGGTGGGTTGCGTTCAGATTTTACAAATGGGGGCCAGATTTCCTCAATTCACTGCCTTGTAGCCTGGGTTATGTTTGTTAACCTGGGTTAGAATTTTAATTGTAGATCTAACTGAATGATTTTAGGTATGATTGTGTCTATGAAACTGGTTTTACAGGTGTTGTTATTCGATGTTCAGGGGGTAAAAGATGTTGAAATAATTTTCTAGCAGTTTAGTGTTTGAGACTTGTGAGGATTCCAGAAATGAATGTTGCTGTTTTGTTGTTATGCTTTGAAGTTGTTTGTATGTGAAGTGCCTTATCCGTAAAGTATGGGAAGCTCTCTCTCCTGCCGCTCGTTTTCTTTCCTGTCTCCACCTCACATCACAGATAGTATGTCCTCCCTCCACTGTCTCATCCATCGCTCACTCCGCTTCCTTATAGATTACCTTCCTTTCAAACTCACCCTCATTCCACCACCACGTTGTTTTTTTACTAACCCAGACCAACCAGCAACCTCTCTTCCCCGGAGATACAGAAGAAACTGCTGTGTCCTAATTACAGTGTTATTTTTTTCTTATTTTGTCAAAGTATTGTTATTAATAATAAAAGCAAAGACGAATCACAATGAAAGCACCTTTGAACCATTAAGTCTGCAAACATCACAAACGGTAAATATTTTAAGTTTCAAACTTCCAGTAAATAAAACATTAGAACATTAAACAGGATTTTGTCCTTTGAAAGTCCATCTGGCATAATGTTAAAATACATCATAATTTTTTACAGATTGTAAGGACAGCAGCATGAACAAAGTCCTCCTGTTAAAGCGTATTAATGTGTTCACTCTGAAGAGAATACAACATATAATCAGACCTCTCACATTGTAAATTACTTATGTACTTGTACTTCAAATGAAAACCCAGTACATCTACTCAATTGCCGTTCTCAAGTACAATTTTGAGAGAGCTGTGCTTTACTGGAATACTTCCATTTCCTGCGACTTTCTACTTTCACTCGAAATATTGACCTTTTTACTCCACTGCCTTATTCGATAGCTGGAGTTGCTAGCGAATACTATTTTTCATACAAAACAAATATAATGAGCGAATAAAATATGAAGCAATGTTGTAGATTAGTAGTATATAAAGTAGTTTAAATCCTCTCCACATGACATGCTGCTTACACATGAATGCATCAGTTTACACTGCATATGGCCCCATGATATAACACTTTGAAAGAGGTAACTGCACAGTAAAACTTTTGATACTTTGAATATATTTTCCTTAAAGTAACAATATAGTATATAAGCGACAAGCTCAATCATTCAAAAGCCCTTTGTATTGAAAGTGAAGTAGGAAGTGGAATAGTTCCCTCTGAAATAGAGGAGTATTAAGTCAATTGAAATACGCATATAAACTTTAAAATGGTTCTTCAGTACACTACTCGAGTTGGATCTAGTCTGGGGATGTGTTTACTTTACAGACCTGCACGTCCCTCCGCTGTCAGAGGGGCGGAGCTAAACACGGATTTCCCAACATGTGACGTCATTTGTATCTGGCTTGCGTGACATCCAATAGAAAGGAGAAGAGAAAACTAGACAGCTTCTGCTCCGCTAGCCTGAAGCGCCATCTTGAATAGAAAGGGGGATTTAAACCGAAAAAACACAAGAAAAAGAGGAATTGGAGGAGTTAAACCGTTACTTTGGTCCGTGTTATAAATCCTCTCGGGTCATCCTGGGACAGTTCTAGTCATGATTTCGGGCGGTTGTAACACAAAGTAAAGGCGGATACGTGAGGAAATCGGCTAGGAACTTGTTAGCCTTTACCCAGCTAGCAAGGGGGAGGGGCGAGGGGTTTGGGGGATTCTTTTTTTCCGCAGCCGAAGTTGTTTGTTTATGTTATTCCAGACAGACATGTCCTCTTCAAACCCAGGTAAGGTGCAATAAAAGTCACCGCAATGATTTAGATGCATAGTGTTGTGCAAGTGTTGATGAGTTATGGGCGTTTTCTTTACGCAGAGCTAAAGCGGACACTTTCCTAAAGATAGCGTGACAGCATCAGCTCAGTTAGCTTAGTAGCTAACCTAATGCTACAGCAAGGCTAGCTGCATAAGTGTTAGCTTGCTAGCCAGCTACAGTAGCTACTAGCTGACTATCAAAATAACTCTGTTGTGATACTCTTAAAAGGCCAAATAAGTTAAGGAACAAAAAACATGTTTGCTGACTACCGAGCTGCGCTAGGTTAGCTCTGTTCATGTGTTTTTGTTGTTGGGTAATGTGTCTGTAACGTTATGCTACATTTAGCTTTAACATTAGCTTCGCGTCGTGGTTGTCTTTGCTCTCTACGATCTACAAATACGACCTACGAATAGTTGACGTGGAGCTAACTTAATGTTGAATACACTGGCTGCAAAATAAACCCAATGTCAGCTGCGTGCGGTAACGGTAATGTAAATTTGTCGTCTGTGTTATGGGCTCCTGTCAGGGGTTTAGTTTCTTTTTCAGTGCTTGAGGCGCAATAGGAAATCAACTGTCACCCCTGCTTCATTTCGTCTCTCTGTGCCTCTGTGTTATTAATAGAGTTATCAGACCCAGATCTGGGTCTGGGGGCAAGTGGGACCCAAGGAGGTGTCGGGGCTGTTGTACCAAAAGGGACCAACAAAAGAAGAGCTGCGTAAGTGTGTGTGGTAGTGGCAACTTGTGTGGTGATATTTCATATTTGGGTATGTGTATTTGCTGACTGGTTTAGTTTTGTTTTTGACACATTCTTGTGAGAATATTTGTTTGACATGTGTTTCTCTTTTCCTTATCACAGGCCAGACTTTGATGATGATGATGATGACGACGATGAAGGAAACAAGTTGTTCAGGTTAATTTTGTCTCAGATTGTTCTGTTATAAAGCAAGTTGAGGTATATCAAGTGTTTTTGGATTGTCTGGGCTGCTGCGATAGCGAGCAATGTTTTCTTGTTTTCCTCAGGTGTGACGATGAAATGGGAAGTGGCAATGACAAAGAGCGCTTTGCCAGGTAGGAGGACAAATTAAGAGTGTGTGTGTGAAGGGGGTTGTATGGGAGCAACATTCTTATACAACAACTTCCTCCACACTGCACTCCCTCTGCTTTTCAATTTTTTTTTTTACTCCTACACTTCCTTTTTTTAATTTGGTAGTGATTTCTGGGCCTGTGTTTTAGTGGGTTGGTTTTATTTCCAGGCTTTTGGGAGAAGATCAAAGTTTTGCAGATAAGGAAAAACAAGCCAGGTGTGGCCTGTACCACTGTAGAAGGCTCCCTCTCCTGCTGGTATCCATATCAATATTTGAATGCTCTGTTCAAATACTATCTTGTCCGGGTGGGACCCCAGCGCATTGTTATTTTAACAGCACATAAATTACCGGTGTGTTTCGCCGCTCTATGTGTCTGTTTTTGTGCCTGTCAGAATGTTCTGCTTCTTTACCCCAGGCAGCTTCTTGTCTTTTTCAGCCCACCACTGATTTATGTCACTAACTGCTACGCTGTGTGTGACTCAGGGACTTTTTTTACTTCGGTAATCCCTTCCTCTTGAGCAACTGTCCTCTCTGTCTTTTCTTTCCCCCTCTCAGGACATATAAGTGGTCTTTCTCTCTCTGCACTTGCTCTCTTTTGTCACCAACTGGGCTTGAAAGACCAGACTCTTGCTTTCATTTTTTTTACAGATAATTGATTTATAGTTTTGCGCCACCATTATTTCTCTCACCTTCTCTCATTCTCACCTCTTTTTGCCGGTTGGCATACTTACATTGCAGCATTAACTCTAAACTCTACCCCATGTTGTCCACCGGCCCATCTGTTTCCCCCATCTCAATCCCTCCTATCCTGTCCACCTCTGCCTCCCGTCGTCGTTTCCTCGCCTCAGGGAGAACCACAGTGAGATTGAAAGGCGAAGGCGGAACAAGATGACTGCCTACATCACAGAATTGTCCGACATGGTGCCCACCTGCAGTGCACTAGCAAGGAAGCCTGACAAACTAACTATCCTGCGAATGGCCGTGTCCCATATGAAGTCTCTAAGGGGAAGTGGCAATACCAACTCGGATGGGTCGTACAAACCTTCCTTTCTCACTGACCAGGTATGAGCAATTGAGAGAGAAATATAGAAATCGAGGTGTGAGGTACACTTTTGTCCCCCTCAAGGGAAATCTTAAAACTGGTTAACGGCATGTTCAGAGAAGGCAACAATTTTGGAGAAGCCAGTTGTGTAGAAGTCAGCAAAGTCTCACAGTCACAATGTTTTTCTCATGAAACCTGAGTTTAATGGAAATGGAGTGGAAGAGGAGTGACGGTAGCACTGTTTAAGCCTGCAAGTTAGTTTTCTCACAGAGTAGCTGAAGGGCAGTCACTACTTTTACTGACTGTCTTTGACAATGCTGATGTAATCTAGTTGTGTAATGTTAAAACTGATATTTCTTTCACCACACTCCACCAGCCTTTCTTCTAGGCCATTGGTCAACTTGTACGTTGTTTAAAAAAACAAATTTTGTAAATATGCAATTACTGTAAATGAGCCTTTGGTGCCTGAAATGACGCCACTGGGGTCATGTCTTTTATATACCGTCCCCGGGTCAACAGTGAAGACGGCTATTACAAGGACCATAATGCATAAATTAGTTTAGATTGAATTTAACTTAATTGTCATTGCACAGAGTATAGGTACTGAGACACAGAAGTGCAAAAAGCAGTTGGGTGCAGAGTGATGTACAGCGTTTTGTGGAGACTGTAAATGTGGGTTGAACAGTAAGGGGTAAGAATACACTAGATATAAATAGTAAGAACAGTGTGTCTCTCTCTCAGAACAGAGTATGAACAGGGTAGGCAGTAGACATACACAATAAGCAGCTGGAGGTATTTATATATAGGGATTTGTGTATTCTCCTTTTTTTTTCATCACAAAAATAGGATAAACACAGACTTTAGATTCATGCTCCATGACGGTCTCTCATCCGCACTGCTCGGCCTGTTCTTTGCTGCCATCTGTCTATAGGAACTGAAGCACCTCATTCTGGAGGCAGCCGACGGCTTCCTGTTCGTGGTGTCATGCGAGACTGGCCGCATTGTTTACGTCTCTGACTCCCTGACACCTGTCCTCAACCAGGCACAGTCTGAATGGCTCGGCTCCTCCCTGTATGATCAGCTCCACCCGGATGACACAGAAAAGCTCCGAGAGCAGCTCTCTACCGCCGAGAACAACAACACGGGTACACAGCAATGGCAGACACTAAATCTGCAGACAGTAGTAGATTTGTTGTTATTAATTCCCAAAGTGTCTTCGTCAAGAGGCAAAATGTTTGCACGTGATCAATCATCACACCCTTGATTGAGTCTGCTCTCTGTTTCCCCTAAAAGGTAGGATGTTGGACTTGAAAACAGGAACAGTGAAGAAAGAAGGCCAGCAGTCGTCGTCCAGAATGAGTTTGGGAGCCCGTCGATCATTCATCTGTAGAATGAGGTGTGACTTCTACTGCTGTTAGTTAATCCAGTTCATCATTGATATTGACGTGTATCCAGATGCATAACTTGTCCATGTTGTGTATATTTGCAGGTGTGGCTCTTGTCCCGTGGAACCTTTGTCCATGAACCGACTGAACTTCCTGAGGAATAGAAACAGGTGACCACAACCAAACGGTTTTTCTTTTTCTTTTTTTAAACGGAGTTGTGATTACTGTGCAGAAATAGACAAACCTGGAGCAGCCCAGTAGCAATAAAATGCACATGGACTGATTCATTTAAGTATATATTATGATTTCTTCCTTCATCTCAGGAATGGTTTGGGTACAGCCAAGGAAGGAGAGCCCCAGTATGTAGTGGTCCACTGTACCGGATACATCAAGTCCTGGCCCCCTTCAGGTGAGATTAGTCCTTGTACTAGGGTCAGCCATACTGTATATAGCTATCTGTTAATTATGTTGTGTCTGTTTAAGATGACTAAACCCTGTAAATTATGCTAAATCTGATAAATCCTTTTTGTGAGTTATTCTTTGTGGCCGCATGTTAACACATTTATTTTTTTTGTGTGTTTTAGGAGTGTCATTAACAGACGATGAGTCGGACAACACTCAGGGGAGTCGCTACTGTCTGGTTGCAATCGGGCGATTACAGGTATGATGGATGCCTCGCGTGTAGAGATATGCACATGTGGCTTTTACGCTGAAGCAAGTCGATGCAATGAAAAAAATCATTTTAATCTGATCATGTAATGTAATTCACTGCAAATTTATATTTCCAACAAACTGCAGTAATATTTGATCCTTATATCAACAATCTAAGAAAAAAATGACCTTTTACTGGTTGGTGGAAAAAAAAGTATTCCTTTGGAAATGCTTCTACCACGAGGCAATATCTTCTGCTCTTATCTGAAGGGGATTATGGCGTTTGCACTGTTACAGTGTTTTGAAATCCTTTTTACAAGCAGTTGGTTGTAAAACATCCATAATATTCATGCTCAAGTACTCAAATTAAATTCAATATATAAGAATATAAATAAATGTTATTTTTCTTCCCTTTAGGTAACGTGTTGCCCAGGTGACACGGACGTCAACAGTATTAGTGTTCCAGTGGAGTTCATCTCACGCCATAACTGTCAGGGCATGTTCACCTTCGTAGACCACCGCTGCATGGCCGCTGTCGGCTACCAGCCACAGGTAAGACGCTCTCCTGACTCCTCTTAACAACCTTTTGTGCCAGAGGCTGTCGTTACTGTCTCCTGAGCTAACGGTGGTTTTATTATGTGCTGTGTGTTGCAGGAATTATTGGGGAAGAATATTCTTGATTTCGCCTACCCTGAAGACCAGGGCTTACTGAGAGACAGCTTCCAACAGGTGGGACGATCTGAATATGTGCACTATACTGTACGATCACATTAATGAGTTTACATGCACTCACAAGAATGAAAGAAAAGATTACTACCTATAGCGACCCTGTAGACCGAATAAATTAATTAAATTTCAGACTAAAACTGAGCGAAGTGGCCTCCAAGTCTCAATCAGCCACTTTCCACAGATAAAAAATGTACTATTGGTACGGACACATTCATGCTGGAAAGAAAACGGCTCCCTCTCACTAAAGACTCCAATTACCCGTGTACCCTGATATCTCCCTATACCTCTGTGTCTTGTGTGCATTGGTTATGAAAACACCAGATTGTGACTGTTTGTCGTGCTGGATTTGTGCCCACAGGTGGTGAAGCTGAAGGGTCAGGTCTTGTCGGTGATGTTTCGGTTTCGCTCCAAATCGAGAGAATGGATCTGGATGAGAACCAGCTCCTTCACCTTCCAGAACCCGTTTTCAGAGGAGATCGAGTATATCATCTGTACCAATGTCAACGTCAAGTGAGTCACACGTGCAGATTTGACCAATACCGCTGATTATGTAACAGGATTACACAATCAAACACAGTACATAATGAAAGCATTGACGTTTTGAAATGTGACTGTTGTGAAAGATCCCCCGTGTCTGAATGCTAACCTCGCACCTTCCATCCCCACTTCTTCTTACGCCCCTTACCACAACCCACTGATCACTCTCTCCCTACACCTCTCCTCTGCACCCATCTCTGATTGTGGGGCAGTAGAAACTCAACTCAGGACCCCCTCCCACCCATCTCCTCCCCAGTGGGTTCGCTGCCCCTCTCCCTGGGTCAGAGCAGTCCAAACTGCCCTCCTGTAATGCTCAGCCCTGGGCAGGTGGCTGCCAGGTGAGACCAGGCCTGGCCTGACTATCCTCCCCCTGCATGGGAGAACAGGGGCTGCTTCTTCATGGGAGACTACACTGCCGTCCTGTTTTAGTTTCATCTACTGCTCTGGGTGATTCTTCTCTCCACTGTGTTTGTCTGTAGAATTTAGAACAATAGTGCTGTTTTCTAAAAAAGGAGCATGTCTAATAGTGAGTAGTGAATCTGGACTCTTAACACGGGTAGTGTAGCATGTTAGCAGTATGTAGTTGTATAACAGACCTTTCCTGTCTCTGTCTTCCTCTCCTCTTCTCTTCTCGTTTATGTTGCCATGGTGGCCGGTGGCGGGTTGAGTGCTGTTTTGTCAGCAGGTGTTTTTTGGCGTCTCACTCAACGGTGGATGGGCATGGAGATGGAAATGAGGCTATTTTAGACCTTCCCTCTGTGTTTCCCTTTTACAGGCAGTTGCAGCAGCAGCAGGCCGAGCTGGAGGGAGGCGGAGCCAGAGACGGTCTCTATGAGGCCGGACCAATCGCCCTCTCGCAGGTTAGGCCGCATGAATGTACAGTACATGTCCAGTTTGATTGAAGCATTGATTACGCCCTGTTTCTCTTGGGTCCGTTGTCCTTTGCTCGGGCCTTTTTGTGGCAGGATGTTGATTATTTGCTAAGTTGAGAGAGACCCATTATCATGACCGCCTGTTGTTCATGCTTCAATTAAATTTAACATTTTTTTCTGTAGTACTTTATCGGAGTAGATTTTAAGCCTGGAAGTATTCCCATCAAAAATCAATTGGATTCGTTTGCAGGTTCATGACTTAAAGTGCCACATTTGATCACGATCTTGACTTAAACTCTTCTTTTACCTTCACTATTCATTTAGGTGCAAACCTATTCAGTAGGCTCGCCTTTGAGCAACACACAGGGCTCGTACAGTCGGGGGAAAAACCTGGAAAAGTCTTGGACTTCAAAAACTGTTTTCCAGGCCTGGAAAAGTTTTCGAAAAATGCAAAATCCCAAAAGATACACACAAGAGTTTTGTCTAACCTGTGCTATAAAAGACAGATATTAAGCATTCTTGGAGCTCTCTCACTCCTTTGTATGCACACTAATATCTCATATGACAACCATCACTAAATAGCTACAGTACCTACAGATGACGGTACAACAAGGTCGTATGGGGAGTAAATAATAGATGGGTGTTAATATTTGCCTCGGGCACACATCTGACAAAATGGTGGATGTAGCAAAATGTCAGTTAAACTGCTGTGGAACTGTGCCATTAGTGGTTGCTAATAGGAGCACATGCAACTCAACCAATTGCCGACGTCAGAGCACTTAATGTTTACTTTATGTCGTACGTTTCTTGTGTCTACCCTGTTAGGATATTTAGTTTATATTGTAAAGGCAGATCTGTGGTTTTAGGCTACAAACAACTATGCAAACTATTTTGAGGTTGGGAGTTATGTCACCTGCTTTCATGATTTCAGCCTCCTCCATCTGTTGTGAATGCCATTTAGATTAATTACAGAAATGACAAAGTGTGCCCCCTGACTGATTTATTATTTTTGGTGGTCCTCAGATGCCGGTGCAACCAGTGACGGCGGTTGGGCCCGACCACAGCAAGAGCCTCGAGAAGCCAGAGCTCTACCCGTCCCTTTTCCAAGGCCCAGATCAGACCAAGGGCCTGCCCTCTACCTCCACTCCCACCGCACAGATCTACCCTCCAGCCAATAGCTTCGCTGCTGGGCGTTCCAATGATGCATACAGGTGGGAATAGGTCTTCAGTGTGTATACATGTCTGTACATGTGGTTACATCTTAAACCTGCAGGCTATACTTAATTAATTAGGTTATATTATTAAAGCTTATTAAATAAAATCTAGTAATGGGATAGTTCTCTACTCTACTATATGGACAGCCACAGCGGCTCCTTGCTGCAGTGAGCGTGAGTGAATTGACACATTTATGTAACCTACCAACTGGTTTGCATGTCCACAGGTTTTGCCTATTGGAGCAGAGCTATTAGAGGCACTTTGTATGATATTAGTTTGTGTGCAACAGCAGCAGATGGGGAAAATCCCCCAGTTCCCTCAAATGTGAGTCTGCCACATGAAGGGTTTAAGAGAATAAAGGCTTCTCCCATGTGTGTTAAGTGGCTGCAGATGCTGCCTCACAATGATGATGGTCCCTTCAGAATGTTTCCTAAAAGTATCCTTTCAAGTATATACTCAATGCTATGCTGACTTTGAATATGATTTCTTTAATTCACAGTGTTTTTTTTTTTTCCATAATAAGTGGTTTTTGACAGCCAGGTAACCGAGCTCGCACTCTCTTCACTTTTGTCTGCAGGCCAGTCAACATGACTCCACAGATGGCACCGCCAGCCCACTCAGCAGGGCAGATGCTGGCTCAGATGTCTCGTCAGAATGGAGCCCCGCAGTCAGTCCCCCCCCCCAGCACTGGCACCCCCCTTCATGGAGGACCAGCAGGAGGATGGCCTGGAGCTGCAGCTGGAGTCCGACCACAATTTAATAACCAGGTACGCCAACATTCCTTATCGGACTTTGTTTTGCCTTTTGTTAGTCAATCTTCATTCAGAAATGATCATTTATACAACGATACTTTTAAGAGTCCATCCCAGTTATTGATCATCACTTATTTACCTTTTGACCCCCAACGATGTACGATGTCAGTAAACGGAGTCACTCTTCCGATTCTAACCAGCAGGTGGCTCCCCAAGCTGCAAAGACCATGTCTCCGCAGTTTGCGCCCATGGGAGGATTTGGCGGTGGCTCCTCCAACTCTTTTGGCCAGATGCCAACCGGTGCCGCTCCCACCCCGACGAACAATGCAAACTACCCGCCCATCACTGCACATGCCAGCCTCAACGGCAATGGTTACGGTAGGTTCTGTGCATATATCTGTGAACCTGTGTCTCTTGTGTTTATACCGGTGCATCATCTCACCCCGCTGTGCTTCATCCCAGATGGCTCTCGGTCCGGCCAGCAGTTCCCCTCTCGAGCAGCCGAGGCAGCAGTGTGGCCCCAGTGGCAAGGCCAGCAGCACTCTCAGAGTAATGCGGAGCAGCACCCTCATGCTCAGGGCAACCAGCAAGACATTTTTCCTGTGAGTGAAACAAGTCTCTCTCTCTCTCTCTCTCTCTCTCTCTCTCTCTCTCTCTCTCTCT